ACAAGCTACCACTGACAAGGGTGCTTACAGGTTTTATTTATCTCAAGAAGGCGGAAAAAAACATGTTTCTGTAACTGCTTAAAAGTGTAAAGCTGGGTATATACTACTAGAAATTTGAATGAAAATATTTACGAAAATTCTCAGTCCATTGAATGACGTTTAAAAGTAGTTCAAGATTTCATCTGCTTTTAACATCTGATTTTGGAATGAATGGACTTTACTGAATGAAAACCACATACACTGTTGGAAATGTATACAGAATATTTTCCATCCTTCTCCTTCAAATCTTCTTATCGCTGCCATTGAAAATTAAAGTTGATTTTCCCCCCAATAATGATTAGCAAATAGAATGAACATTCTTACAACTAAAAATGTTACAAAATTCTACCCAGCTTTAGTTGGTGTTCTGCTGGTCATACATTATACAATTTTCTTGTACAGATTCTGTACAATCTCCTTTAGATTTACCATCAACTATGTAGTGCAAGTGCCTGCCTGGTTGGACACAAATTGAAAGGGTTGTTGAGGTTTGACCTCATATTATGTGGTTTTTGGTAAATCAAAAGGAAAATTGTACAAGAAAATTGTACAGCCAGCTGAGCCCATCTATATCTGCTAGTGCACCCAAAACTACCCTCCCGCAGACTACCAGTGCTGCCCTCCAGGGGTGTCTCCATTGCTCTTTCATCCATACTGGAGACACTCTAAGAACCCGGTCACACCGGGTTCGACTTGGCATTCGATTTGCCATGCCTTGCGACTTCCAAGGCAAGTCGCACCCTATTGTCCGCAATTACAGTGGTCATATTGGTGCGATTCTGACTTGGTTGGAGCCGCACTGATTTGTAAAGCAGTCCATGCACTACTTTAGGTGCGACTTGCATAGACATCTGCTCCTTCTAGCCAAGTCGTACCTCAAGATGGAATACCATCCAACTGTCACTGAAAGTCGCACAATTTCAAAGTCGGATCGGTGTGACCGGGTGTGAGGTTGGAAGGGTGTTACTGGCCGGATCACCAGGTGAAAACAAAGGGGGGGGGGGGTAAAAAAAAGCATAACAATGAAAACTAATGCAGCCATCACATCTAATGATTGGAAAGCTGCAAAATATAAACTGTATGGGTTGATTACCGCTGTAACTCTACATCCATCGCACTGTCACAATCAACAATCAACCTGTCCTTCAGACTCTATCTACCAGCAAAGAAGTTGTGCAGCAGCTCTGGTTGTCGGCTATGGAAGGCTCTATAGAGAAGCAGCAAAGCGCTGAACTCCTCCGACACCTGCCCCGTCTATAGAAGAAGGGGGGGGGGGACTTACAGTCTCCGGTCCTGGGGTTGCAGCTGCCAATGCATGGCCAGGGAGAATCCGAACAAGCTGCCAGGCTCTCCTCCCTTGGAGATGACATTGTCGGTATCCAGGTTAAAGGCGGCGATGAGAGTGTGGGAGAGGAGCGCGGCGCAGGACAGGTAGATCCAGGCAGCAGGCATGGTGGTGGTGGAGGAGCGGCCGGCGGCTCCGCTCTTACTTCTCACGCTGACTTCCTCCCCCCTCCGCTGAGTCTTTTTATCCGGGGCCCCCTCCCTGTGCCCTTTCCCCGTCCCCTCCGCTCAATGCTCGCCTTGTTCTCTGGAGGGATCGGGCTCTTTATATGTCACACACCCCGCCCTGCCCCAGGCTTGTCTGCAGCCTGCCAGCTCTGTTCTCTTCTTCAGGGTTCCTGCCCAGCCCACTCCTTCTAGTCCTGTAGGAGCAGCGAGTGATCTCCATCCCAGGGAGGGGCTCCTAGAGGTCTGGGCAGGCAGCCAGGGGAGGATCGCCTATGGCCTCAGGTAGTACAAATCCGGGAGTGTGAAGGCTGCAGCTGCTGATCGCAGGGACAGAGGCAGGCAGGTGATCAGGAGCTGCAGATCACACCCCAGCCAGGTGCACCAGCCTCCTAGACTCCTCTCTCATCTGCCTATAGGTTCCCCTGTGCTGCCCAGGAGCTGCGGACCATCCGGAGGGCGCACTGACCTAGTGCATTGCCCTTTAAAAATTTACTTTAAAGCGGAGTTTCACCTGAAAAAAAAAAATAAAAGTCAGCAGCTACAAAAACTGTAGCTGTTGACTTTTAACATACAGCCACCTACCTGTCCTTCGGTCCAGTGGTGTCCCCACCACCGCTGGTTTCATTGGCCCTCTTCTCTCCCTGACACCGACATCTTTACTGTGGGCACCCGGCTGTGACAGCTTGTGGCATCACAGCCGGGTGCGCATGCACGAGGAGCGCTGCGCTTTGTAAATGACCCCGTAGTCTTCTGGAACCTGTCACATGATCCAGAATACTATGGGGAGAAAGGGGGGAGGATAATTTCAGTTTCCGATCACCTAGGAAGTGGGAGCGGGTACCTGTCAAATTCGGGTACCCGCTCCCCAAAGGTGCCAATCCTTAATGGGGAGTGGGGGACAAAGGCTTAAAGCAGAACTTCCCTTTTTGGGTGGAGCTCCACTTTAATGTCTAAAATGATATACTCACAAGTGGAGGGGCTCTGAGGAAGAGGATAAGTCCTCGAAACGCGTCAGTCTGTTGAGATTCCATCATTCTGTTACATCTTGATGTTTTGCGGATTGCTTTGTGACGCTGTCATGAGATGAACATGTGTTTTTATCCACTTGTGAGTATAATACTTACCATTTTATACATTACAGTGAATTTTTACAGGATAATGCTATAGGCTAGTGCACCCTCTGTTTATTATTGCAGTGTCTCTAGACCCCCCCAGTCTTGTGAGGGCAGCAAGGCAAGTGCATCCCATGAGGGCCAGGATTTGACTGCAGTCCTCTAACTCTTTTTGGACCTACTCTCCAAGCACAGGAGTATTTTTCCGGCTCTGGACCATCTTTCATTTGGAGGGAAAGTCCTTCTTCCCCAATAGTTTCTTAAACTTTTGCAAAACACAAAATATGGCAAGTGTGGTTTTTTTTAATCATACAATCTACAAAAGGTTTCTCAGTATTTTAAGCAGGGCTGTGGATAAGGGGGTACCACCAGTTCTCCTGCACGGGGGCCAAGACCAGCAGGGTGAATCATATGTGGGCAGGGAGGGTAAACGGCACGGCGTACGGAGATGTAGGGGGGAGGAATTACTGGATACTATCCCCTGTATGGCTCTCTATGCTGCAGCTGAAAGCTGGCATCTTCTCCTCTCCTTCCCACTGGCTTTTCATCCATACAGGGGATCAATCCAAGTAATTGCCCCTTCTGGTACAGCCATCACCCTCCCTCACCATACATTTTCCCCTGCTGCCCAGGCCAACCCTGTGTGCCCCCACCCCTGCAGTGCTTCCGGCTTCCCTCCTCTCCAACAGCTGTAGGCTCACAATGGGATCATTCAGGATAAAGAGTGGGGAAAGGGTCTGGTAAATTTGTCCCATTTAGCAGCTCCCCCTTCATTCCTGAATGAATACAATGCGTGATCGGTACCGATCACTCACTGTGTTCATTCACAACGGAACCATAGTAAACTGTTTTTTTTTTTTTAAAGGGGGCCCTGTCAGGTTGGCTGTATTGGACCCCGTGGTTTCTAACAGCAGCCCTGGTTTCAGGCTAGGTTCACATTTGTGCATGTGCAGTTGATGCGTTCTTTAATGCTTTTTTGCAGTGTGTTTTAAGCCTTTATAAGGCTTATCTGTAGGTAGTGTAAATATCTCCTAAATGTGCCATAAATTGAGAGAGCCGCGCCACTTCCAAAACTCCCTTCGCACATGCACGGCAGTGGCGACATCATGTCATGGCCAATCAGATGGCCGCAGATCGCAAACCCAGAAGGAAAACCGGGTGAAGATGAAAGCCTAGGGGAGCAATGACAGCGCTCCACTGGAGGGCTTCATTTTCAGGTAAGTCTTTCAGAATGTGCTAGTATGTGATGCATGCTAGTACATTATGCTCTTAACTTGCAGGGAGAAAAAATGTTTTTTATTTTTTTTTCAGGATTTACTACTGCTTTAAAGCAGAGTTCCAGCCATTGTAATGTTTATTAGAAGTCAGCAGCTACAAAAACTGTTCTCACCTGCGCCATCCCTTCTCCCCTTCTAGCCTCCACGGCGCCGGCATCTCAACTGTGGGCACCAGGCTGTGACAGCTTGCGGCTTCACATCCGGGTGCCCACTGCGCATGTGCGAGTCGTGCTGCCCCTCCTGATTGGTCCGGCAGTCTTCTAGGACCTGTGAAGGTTCCCAGGAGACTGCAGGAGGAAGGAGAGAGTTAAACTATCGGCTCACTTCACTGAACTGAGCTGGAAGTAGGAGCAGGTACCTGTCAAAGCAGGTGCCCGCTCCCCCCTCCCCCCTCCCCCCCCAAAAGGTGCCAAATACGGCAGTGGAGGGGGGAGAGGCAAATAAGCGAAGTAAGTTTTCATGCTTAATATGTTGTTTTTTTTTGAGGGAAGAGGCCTGTACCTGTACAAGGAAGATAACTGTTCATCAGAGTGCAGGTGGATTCCTATTACTCCCTGCTTGACTCTACGAATGGTTCCCCCTGCTGGTTGGATGTACATCCCTGGAGCCTGGAGAGCGACTGTGTGATGATTACCTGCCTTACTGAGGTGTGCCAGATGATCCTGAGTTACCTTTCCAGATCCAGATTTCCAGGAGTGGTTTGATTTACTCAAACACGCATTAGATTGCGCTATCTGGTTATTGCAATATACATTCATTTTCAAGCCACTGGAGTCACAGAATACACCTGTTGATTTGTTTTTTGGACTTTGAATCAATCTGTTTTGTGTCACGTCTGCACGTTAAATGTTATTATTTAGACGTTATTCACACTAGTTGATGAAGCGCTCCACAGCCCATTTATGTATGATTATTACATGATTTATATAGGTGGATATATTTACTTCTTTACTGATTCTGCTAAGCACTGCATTTATATATTTATTGATTTGTTGAAGGATTTTTCAGGTTCACCTTCATGCTAACTACTCGTCAAGTTTTTACCTAACGCTCGTTTTACACCTCTATCATCAGTGCCACCTGCCAGTGCCACAGTGCCACATCAATGCCACATATCAGTGCCCATCTGAGCTGCCTTTCAGTGTTGCCTATCAGTGCCAGTCAGTGCCACCTATCAATGCCAGTCAGTGCCACCTATCAGTGCTGCCAATCAGTGCCATCTATCAGTGCCAATCAGTGCTGCCTATCAGTGCCCGTCAGTGCCGCCTATTAGTGCCGCCTAACAGTGCCAGTCAGTGCCACCTAACAGTGCCAGTCAGTGCCACCTATCAATGCCAGTCAGTGCCACCTATCAGTGCTGCCAATCAGTGCCATCTATCAGTGCCAATCAGTGCAGTGCCCGTCAGTGCCGCCTATTAGTGCCGCCTAACAGTGCCATATGCCACCTGTGCCAGTGCCGCCTGCCAGTCAGTGCCGCCTATAAGTGCCAGTGCCAGTGCCCATCAGTGATGCCTGTCAATGCCCATCAGTGCCACCTACCAGTGCCTCCTCATCGATGCCCATCAGTGCCACCTATCAGTGCCCATCAGTGCAGCATATCAGTGCCCATCACTGCAGCCTCATTAGCGCACATCAGTGAAGGAGAAAAATCACTTATTTACAAATTTTTAAAACAAAAACTAAGAAAAAACTTTTTTCTTTAAAAATTTTCAATTGTTTTTGGTTTGTTTAGCGAAAAATAAAAAACCCAGAGGTGATTAAATACCACCAAAATAAAGCTCTATCTGTTTAAAAAAAATGATAAAAATTTCATATGGGTACAGTGTTGCATGACCGCACAATTGTCATTCAAAGTGCGACAGCACTGAAAGCTGAAAATTGGCCTATGCAGGAAGGGGGTATAAGTGCCCTGTAGGCTAGTGGTTAAATACAAAACCCTACCAAAAATGCATCAAAAACACATGTAGTTGTGTTTTTCCATTGTTTTTTAACACACTTCCATTATATTCTTTGGAGCAAGAAATGTACCATTGCTGCATGTGAAGAAGCTCCTGCACCTTTTCAAAAAATTGCACTGCAGAAAATAGCATAGATGTGAACAGGACCTGTAGGAAATCATGTTAAAGGGATTGTAGTGTGTTTCTGCACTTCAGAAAATACATTTAAAACATGCACAGATGTAAACCAAACTTAAGCAGACTCAAAAAAGATTTGGTAGAATATATTCCAGTTTACTATCATCTGAAATATCATTAGTAGTATAGTACGGTCCCTTTCACATGGGCGTTCATTTTTTTTCATCAGTTCAGTCATGTTTTTCCAAGAAAAAGGGGATTAGTTTTTCATCCGTTTTTCATCAGTTTACATCAATTTTTTTGTCCGTTTTTTCATGTTTGTCATCTGTTTTTTGTGTGTGTGCATCCGTTTTTTTATCCTTTACATCCGTTTTTTGTTTGTTTTCATCCATTTACATCAGGTTTTTATCCGTTTAAATCCGTTTTTGTCCGTTTACATCTGTTTTTCGTCCATTTACATCAATTTTTGTCCGTTTATATCCGTTTTTCATCTGCTACATTTTTTTTTAACGGAAGAAAAATAGTGTTTTCTTCCATTCAAAAAAACGGATGTCAAGGGATGTGGACATTAACGGATGCAAACAGATGATCATCCGTTTACATCTACTAGTTCATAGAAATACATGGGTGTCCATTTTTCATCCGTAAATGAACAGATGATAAACGGACATACAAAACGCCCATGTGAAAGTGGCCTTAAGAAAAAGGAAACTGGGGGTTTCCCCAGGAAGAACAAATCTAAAACCAGCCATACATGGGCCAAATTCCAAAAGAATTTTCTTTTTCGTTCGCATTTGAGTGATCGTGTTGGAAATTTTTTTAAAAATGAACACATTTCTAATCAATGGTGGGAGAAACGTGTGAGAAATATAATCGAAAAAGAAACGAGCGTGAGCTGTGACCTGGAAAGAAAAGAAAATTCTTGGCCACGAAAATCCTTTTCTGTAGCAGCATGAGATGAAATTGAAGGCTTGGTTGGTCGAATTTTGACATCAATGGTGGCAACATCGGGTTACAAAACCCATTAAATTTCTGATTTTTTAAAGAAAATTCATTCAGAATTTTGCCCCATGTATGGACTGCATTAGGGGCGATGGTAAATTGGGCATAGGAGGTTTTATGAAACCACCTTCTTGGTAGATTAATCATTAAGGCAAGGTAAATGGCAAAAAAGGGGGGCGGGGGAAATAGATTGTAAGCTCCAAGGATCAGGGCCCTCTAACCCTCTTGTATTGAACTGTATTGTTGCTGTATTGTCTCCCTTTGTAAAGTGCTGAGCAAACTGTTGGCACTATATAAATCCTGTATAATAATAATAATAATATTATATCATAATACTTGTCTAAAGGAAAATCCCAAGACTAAATAAAAGGTATTAGATTTAAAAATCAAATACTGTAGTGCTCTGTCACTGAGGGTTGGAAGTGTATGGTAAAAGTCTGCTGGCAAATAATGAGAGGTCCAAGGTTCCCATTTTTTCATGAAATGTGTCAGGAATACCCTTCTTTAGGAACCAAATCCTATTGTCCCAGCCAGAGTAAAGACATGTTAAAGCAGCCCATAGAGTATGCAATGTCCATTCCTTTCACTAATGCACTGAAAACATAAAGAACAGCATTTTCTCAGAGCATGCTCTAACATGCTATAACATGTCACAACACGCAGGAGCACATGTTAACAGCATACAGTAAAAAAAATATAGAAAAGGTTTTAAAAACACACTGGAACACATAAAAAGCACAGGTATTTCAGCACAAGTTTAAAATGCATGCCAGGGCGTGCTGTATGGTGTGAACAAGCCCTAAGAGCTGGTGTGTAAAGTTTCAGACTCAGAGGCTAGTAAAGAACTGAGGACTTTTGTATTGCTTTGACTTGCTTCTCGGGTACCTATGGGCGGATTCATGGTGAGCTGCTACAAGCTTCTTTTACTGTAGATCCCAGCCATCCCTAATTTGGAGGGAATGTCAATGATTAGGAACCTCTGTCCCTTATTCCAATATTTTAGCTCTGGAATCTATATAAATACATTTATTATTTTGTTCCCAAAAGTAAAATGTTTGTCCATCCTTTAGATCAGGGCTTGTCATTTGCTTGATATATGGGACATCAAGTGGGGCCTTTGACAGTCCCTAAGGGCTGCACATTATCTTCAATGAATGTGATACTTTAGAAAACTGTCAGAGATTGAAGACGTGCAACAGGAGATGGTCAGGGACTACAAACTAGCTATAGAAGTTGCTGGAGACATAGTCGTAGCTTGGAGACACGTTACTTGAGATTGCTCCACTGTTATTACTTCCCCTGTACAAGTCACCGCTTCCACATTTGTTCTTTCTACAGCCTTCTTAAAGAATATGTAAACCCCACATTTCCTATTCCTTATATGTGCCTGTTGTACCATGTACTTGTATGAAAAAGTATCTGGTTCTCTATCAGGGGCGGACTGAGAACTCATGGGGCCCCCGGGCAATAGGGGATCATGGGGCCCCTGTGTCCTTGCCCAAACTCAAAAAAGCCTATGAAAAAGGTACCGGGGCATCTCATGGGGCCCCCTACTGATCCCGGGCCCTCGGGCAGTGCCTGAGTTTCCAAATGGTCAGTCCGCCCCTGTTCTCTATGTATTGCTTCCTTTGTGTGAAATCCCTGGTGTTCCTGCTAGTCCCTCTCCATTTCTATTAAAAACTGACCACACTAGGCAGAACACACCATGGTCAGTTCTCTAGCTGTGCAGGGAACACCACCTGCCCTCTGTCAATAATCAGACTTGTTCTGACATGACCACCCTGCACAGCCATTCACTGGGAAGTTCAGTGTATGCTGTTTCTCCTACCCCAGATCTTATGCAGCTGAAGGAATGTGATTATTTATATAAATGGGGAAAAATATTTATAACATTTTTTATATCTATAGACAAATGTTTTGCCTTTCATTTCTATTCAAACTGAATGGGTTGTTTTACAAGGTGAGGGTTTACAATCACTTTAAAAGTTACTTGTGGCACATTTATTTCTCTAATGGTGGCCATACACGCACCAATAAATGATTTGATTTCTTTTTAAAACGATCTTTTCCTATAGGAATATTCGATCTATAGCGGACAACCCAATCAATCAATATGCCGCACACGCAGCGAAATAGATTTCATTCGATAAATAAATTATAAATCATATATCTGTTTCCACAATGCAAACTTGTGATCTGGTCAATCGAAATCTGTTCAAATTCATTAGCAGAGCATCTCAGTGCTGCCGATCGTTCATTTTCTGTTATACCCGATTGACTCAGTTTGATCGAATATGATCAAAAACAAGCCTAAATCAAAGGGAAATGATGACTATTGAATTGTTTACCAATTTGGAAATCGATAATAAAATCATTGAGCCATTATTTCAGAACAGAGGTAAAAAAGCATGAAAATAAAAGTGGGTTCACAACACAGAAAAAGTAAGATGATTACAAACAAATAGGGCTCTTGCACACGGCCGTATATTAGGCATATGGCCATACAGAGTAAAATTGTGGCACTTGGGAACCACAGCTGTGGCATATTTTTCCATTTTGAGATGCATTACATAAAACGTAGCACATGGCTATATGTGTGTGTAACCAGTGGTTAAATGGTTAGCACTTACGCCTGGCAGTACTAGGGTTGTTGGTTCGAATCTCAACCATGGCATCATCTGCCTGGAGTTTGCATGTTCTCCTTGTGCCTGTGTGGGTTTCCTCCTACATTCCAAAGACATGCTAGTAGGTTAATTGGATCCTGTCTAAATTGGCCCTAGTATGTGTATGTCTGAATGTAGGTTAGGGACTTTAGATTGTACACCCCTTCAGGGTTAGGGACTGATGTGAATGTACAATATATATGTAAAGTGCTGCGTAAATTGACAGCACTATATAAGTACCTGAAATAAATAACCACTGCCAGTTGCGTTTGCATGAGAACATAAATGTTTTGGTTTTTTTTTAAATGTAAAATTTTATGTTTTTCAAAATCCTCCCATACAAGTGTAAACGCATGTGTGTAGCTGCGCACACCTTTTTCTGAAATGCATCTCAATGGGCAAATATAGACTACAGCATACAACATACACAACAAGCGTATTTAACAGCGATTTTATAGTTGTATGCAGGAGCCCATAAACCAAACCATTAACACCTAGAAGCCACTCTAAAGACTGTTATTCCTTCAAAGGCTTAAGTAAGCACCAAAACAGACCACCATCTGCAGGTTCCCTGAGGGCCACACAGTAAGTGACAAAGGGCTTCAGGCTGGGCAAAGAAAGCTTTAGATTATCGCATTGATTATTTTAGAGTAGATATACAGTTGTGCTCAAACGTTTACATACCCTAGCAGAAAT